TGGCTCAAGTGGTAGAGTGCTAGCCTTGAGCTGAAGAGCTGAGGGACAGCGCCCAGGCCCAGAGTTCAGGCCCCACGACCGGACCCCCCCCCAAAAAAAAATAATTTCTTTTTTAACTCTGGACATACTCTCACTATTGTCATAAACAGCAGCACATCTGCCCATATAGTTTCTTTTACTTCCAAATATTACTGCTAATTTTCCCCCATTGAGATTTCAGTATCAATTTTCCCTACACCTTTTGACAAATCTGCCAAATTTCTATAAACATTAAGCTTATCAGCGGCTGGAAGCCAGTCAGAAGAAAAGCAGAGAGGAATGTGCTGCAAAGAAGGAATTTACATACACTGGATACCCACTATTATTCACTGCAAATGGTCATTTATTATTTTATTTTGAAAAAAATGGCCCAAAATAGCTCATAAATGGATGATCATCACACCTTGAATTTCTGTCCTATTTTCAAAACTTTGGTGTTGGTAGATGAAATTAATAGCTTCCAATAAGGCTATTACTACAACGTTTCCCATTTAACTTGTTGCTCAACGAAGAAAACCGTGATCTGGACAAGTTGGGTAATAACTGAAATAAATACCTGCTCACATCCAAAGCTGAACGCTCAGAAATATGATTCTAGCACCTCTGTAATGTTTCTGGTAAGGAAATGTTGCAAAGACACTACTAATTTCTTGTATGGAGGTGAATAAATTAAATAGGGGACATGAGTGGGAGAGGAACAGTGTGAACTTAGCCAGAGCTTGGGAGTCCTGGGGAATAGTTGGGGGAAAGAGAAGCAAACACACATAGAAGTTTCACTGATGAAATCTGGCAAAATAACAGCAAACCAAAGTTTCATACAAATTCTAAACATCAAGTAGGCACACAAAGGCCCTCAACTTTCAGAAAAACCACTGACAAGCCCATTGCATAGTAGTCAGGATGCCTCAAAGCTGTGTCTACATGCCAAAAATCCTGATCAATGCAATAAATGCCATCAGTTACATCATGCAATTGGTCTTCAGTGCCCCCAAACGAAGAGGAGTTCTCTTTGTTCAACCAATCACATTGGCGTGTGGACAAAACTGGATTAAGGCTGAGCAAAGGGTGGAGCTAGGTGTTCAGGAATTTGAGTATTTGAAAATGGTTTTGGATCTTTGGGTGTTTCTTGAATGATATAATGTAAAAGCTAGTTTGTAAACTCCAGAGATCACAAAAAGACTTTCTAATCAACCCAAAAGAACTTTTCTCTAATAGAAAAAAGTAGTCAACTACAACTAACCACAGTAAGTGAATGACCTGTTTTTTGAATTTTTTGTTAATAATGGACATTGTAATAATGTATGGGAGCATAGGTGTCACCCATTCCGTGTCTTTGCTGAGAATTCTTAATTCAAGTCTTTGGAAAACATAAAGACAACTTACTTGAATTAAATAAGAGAATGCTTGTTCCTTAAAATCAAGTCTATTGGTAGGAGCTCTCCCTAGAGTAGGAACATTAACCCTCTCTCCCTTGGGGCTCAGCTCTGCTCAAGAGGCAGGGCTTACTTAAAGATTCAGGACAGTTGACTAGGAGTCTTCCTACTTCCCCCACGCTGACTGTCTAGCCAGTAATCAACTTTACATCAACTGTGGTTTTTCTTTTTCTAATTGTCCTAAAGTCTGTAATGGGTGCTGGAGACTTCCCAAATAACCCAAAATGGATTTCTATTTGGGAATGATGGCAACAAGTCAAGTTTTAAGGTTGAGAACATGTAAAGTATTATAGGAAAACATGCTTTGGATTCTCAGGTCACAGTAAGTAGAAATTCACAATTGGAGCTCTCAAAAAGACCAGCTGCTGCAGTGGGAGATTCTGTCCACTAATCCCCAGATCCATCCTGCGAACTTTTATTGAAGACTTCATCCTGTGAAGCCTGATGATCGATCCCTTCATAAAATGAGCCACCGTTGTGCAGGAAAGTCCCCACAGCCCGTCCCTGTCGGGCATGACCCACGGCATCGCTGAACACTTTGTTTATCTGCTCCTCTGAAGGCATCCACCAATCAGGGTTGGAGGTACAGTGCATCCTAATGAATTCTGTGGGAATACACACAACAGTAGGAGAGAGAGAGAGAATACAGCTAGTTTTGGCAGAAAATGACAGGACAGGCTGCTTAACTTAAACGGATGCTCTATCCAAGAAGTTGCATGGGAGAGCCAATGCAATGCTATGATGATGTCACATGCCACACCCAGTTTATTAGACCCAACTTTCTCAACATGTAGCTGTTGAAAAGAAAGGTCAACTCTGATTAGGAAGGCATGGTATGTACCATGCCTCGTGTATTAGCACATTCCCAAACCTACATTGTTACATGCTTGAATTTCAAGAAAGTTATCCCTAGAAGCACAACAAATATCGTCAGCAATTGTTTTCGGTTTTTTTTGTCAGTCATGGGGCTTGAACTCTGGGCCTGAACATTGTCCCTCAGCTCTTCAGCTCAAGGCGAGTGCTCTACCACTTGAGCCACAGTGCCACTTCTGGTTTTCTGGTGATTTATTGGAGTTAAAAGTCTCTTGGAGTTTCCTGCCTGGGCTGGCTTTGAACCACGATCCTCAGATCTCAGCCTCCTGAGTAGCTAGGATTACAGGTATGAGCCACGGGCACCCAGCGTTCGTCAGCAATTTTTAAGTAGCTGTTAGTTTGAAGATAGAGTACAATAAAATCATAGGGTCTCAATGCATGAGGTAACTTTATCATATTTCAGAAAAGCTTTCCTTACTCTTAGAATGCTGCATGATGATGGGCTACACTCCCTCCTCTGCTGTAACATCTGCATAGGAACTGGCATAGTACTTTTTCAATGCCATGTCATCTAAGTATTTAATTTTACCAGAAGGCAGTTGCATGCCTAGAAGAGGCAACAGTTCAGCCAGCACCAACAAACAGCCCCCATTTCTTGCCTGTGTGTTTTTTACCTAAGGGCTGGGTAGGACTCCACAGGAAAGGTATGTTGGAGACTACAGGCACTGGCTAGGCAGCCTAGATGGCACCTCATAGTGAGACAGTGCATCAATCCAGAGGGCCAGCAGCACTGGACCTCTGTGATGTGTTTTAATCTCTGTGTCCCTAACTTGCTTTTAAAATATAAATAAAGTTTCTGCAGGGGGATTCAGCTATGACACCTGTTTCCACTTGACTCCTTGAGTGATACATAGGTAGAACCTGGTAGAACCCTTAACCTCAATACTGCCTCTGGTTTGTAACTCTGCCATCTTTCATAATGCTGGAATGAGGGAAACTGAGAAGAGTCTGCTAAGATACACTCTGGAATTTCTAAAACCAAGAAGATGCTCTAGAGCCCTGATACCAATGTTAATGATACTTTGAGTTCAGGTGGCTTCCTCAGGCACCAGCCAGCTCTTTCAAAATCAGAGGGCACCATAACCAGAAGCATGCATCCTTTCCCATCCCTGCTCAAAGAGAATCTCTGGGGTGGACTAGGCAATCTCAGCCGCACTCTTAGGCTCCAAAGACTTCAGAATGCTCTGTCTAAGGTTAAAGCTGCATCCCAACAGCTAAAGTCTTACCAGTGACACTTACAAAAATAAAAACCCCTATAACTATTAGGAAAATTTTGATTAAACAAACAATGTCTTTAAGGTTGATAAAATTACTATTAAACTGCCTATACAAGTTAACATCTGAGCTTTCTGAGAGGCCTATTTCAGTGTGAGTGGGTGTGTGGTCTGTCTGTCTATCTTTGTCTGGGGCTTGAACTCAGGGCCTGGGTGCTGCTGTCCCTTAGCTTTTTGCAAGGGTAGTGCTCTAACACTTGGGCCACAGCTGTTTTGGTGGTAAACTGGGAATCAACAATTTTATAGATTTTTCTGCCCAGGCTAGCTCTGAATCTGGATCCTCAGATCTTGGCCTCCTGAGTAGCTAGAATTACAGTCATGAGCTATCATTACCCAGTGCTAAGAAATACTTTTAACACAGGAACTCTTTAATCAAAATAGGAAAAGTGTAACTTCAGGCTCTAAGGAAAACCAAATTCCACACAAATTTAAGGAGTTGGACCAAGTATTTTTGAGGAAGAAAGCTAGATAGAGAGCCCAGGCTAGAATGGAAGCTGATCATTTTTACCATTTTTCTAAAAGAAAAAAAAATTCCCCCTGTTCCAGTTGTGCTGAAAGTGACCTTCTTTGATAGCAAAGAAAATCTGAATTCAAAGCGTGAAAATGACGTGCTATGCAATGCTTATGTACCATAAGTGAGAACAACAAGACTAAAGCAAACGAAGGTTGTTTTGAGCTTCTCAATACCAAGTAGATGGGGCACATGAAAAGCCTATAAGATCTCAGTGGCAAGAAATCAAAATACAGTAAGGCTAATAAACACTTGTACTGGGAGCCACAGCCAATGCGGTGAAATGGGATCACGGATGGTGGACACTGAGCGGAAGGATGCAGTACCTCGGAGGCATGTGACTTTAACTGGATCCAGAGGGCGTCTTTCAGGACCTGTCTCTCCTGACTGCACTGACCTTTTCCTTTTCCCAAGGCCGCATGAGTACTTAAGCTCATCGGTTGTGAAAACAAATCTGATGAGGTATCGCAGGAGCCGTCTCCCATCTTTCTTTGAAGAATTTACAGCCTCATCCCACTGTTTGCTCGTTATGTAGACAGGATAGTTGTTCAACAGCTGCTTGCTTCCCTGGAAAAGCAAAATATTTTCTCATTACCTACTGAGCCAGCCAGCCAGAAGCCAAAGTGATCTCCATTTCAAAGGCAAACATGCTTTTTAACCAAGTGGCTGTGCTGACAATGAACCAAGTACTGAAGAGCACAAGTAATTGCTCACACTCAAAAACGGGCACTTTTCAAATTACATTTGCATTTTCTATAACAAGAGCCAATGAGGTATAATGAACACCTTTGAAAGAGGAGCTATTTATAACTTGCATTTTAACAGGTAGGTTAAAATGTGTCAAGATCCAATGACAGAGAACACTATTTAAATATAACCTGTAACTTTCCTTTTCAATCTATTAAAATATGCAAAAATGACTTTGAAGAGTGCGATCAAACAGGTCCCTTCATCCTTTGGCTGGCAGTTAAGTACTTCTAGAAATGATGCTGTTGGTGGTCTATTTTAATAAGATATTACTTGTGTTGAATGTGCCTAATATCTGATAGTCATTGCATTACAGTAGATGCAACATTAAAGAGTGAATTTTTAGAAAGAAGAAAACTGAAAACTTAGAAAATACAATAACGCAAAACATTTTCTCAAATTATAGCTTCTGCAAATGCTACCATGTCAACTCATTTTTTTTTTTTTACTTTTCACCTTCATAATTTATATCTGCTATAAAATTCCCCGGCTAAATAGCTGCAGAGGGACTAATTACAAGAATTTCTGTAACATTTATAGGCCATGTTGAGTCAATTGCACCTACATGACCATTACTTTAGTTCTGGCTGTCCATAAAATTCTACAATCCAGGACAAATTAATTAACCCGTGATCTCAGTTTTAATGTACTCCTTCCCCAGTAATTAAGGTGTACAAAATAAAAAAAAAGGAAAACTCATTCAACAGTTTTATAACTGTAAATTTACTATAGGTTATAAATTGGGCACTGTTTGGGTCTGACAGGGTTTTATTTTTTAAAGCGTTCTGCTTATTTAAGCATCAATAAGGGTAAGCAGTACAGAAGCAAAGAGGTGGCGCCAGACTTGGTTAGGAGCCATCAAGTGAATTGCACACATTTTCCTGAAACCAATAAGGACTTACATTTTCCTTTCGTAGGGTAGGCAATTAAGGTTGTAGTTTGTGCTTTGAAAGGTGGGGTTCAAAGTCAACACTGGTTTCATGTTTTTTTGAGATGCACTTGAGCAAGTTACTTGAGCTTGTTGGACCACACTTTCCACCTTATAAAACAGAAGACCTACATCGAATGGGCGTATTTGGTGCCAGGTGCTGGTGGCTCAGGCCTGTAATCCTAGCTACTCAGGAGGCTGAGATCTGAGGATCACTGTTCAAAGCCAGCCCTGGGAGGAAAGTCCCTAAGACTCTTTTCTCCAAGTAACAGAAAACAGAAAGTAGAACTGTGGCTGAAAGTGGTAGAGCATTAGCCTTGAGCAAAAGACCTTAGGGATAGTGCTTAGGCCCCTAAACACACACACTCACTATATATATATATATATATATATATATATATATATATATATATATGTATATGTATATGTATATGTATATATATATATAATAAGTGAATGGAGTATTTCGGTGTACAAATGAATCCTTAGCTCTGTGGGCAATAGGAGACTGTTTGGATGGGGAGCAGTGAGCAAAAGTTCATAGGCTCTTTCAGTCCAGACTGCAGGAATCAGGGTGAGGCATGAGTGGGTCTGAGCAGTGTTGAAAGAAAATGAGAGGGGCTGGGAACATGGCTCAGTGGTAGAGCACTTGCCTTGCATGCATGAGGCCCTGGGTTCGATTCCTCAGCACCACATAAGCAAAAACGAAAAAATCCAGAAGTGGCTATGGCTTAAGTAGTAGAACGCTAGCTTGAGCTGAAGAGCTGAAGGACAGTGCCCAGGCTCAGGGTTCAGGCCCCATGACTGGACCCCCCCCCAAAAAAAAGAAGAAGAAAATGAGAAATGCAGAAATGAGGAGGGTAGGCAGACAGTTCAGAGAACCAGGGCATGGGAGACAGACAACAGATGATCCTAAGTGAGGTGGCAGTGGTTGGAACAAAGATAAGGCTGAGGGCATGAGCGAAAAGAGGAGGGGCAGTACTGTTTCCCTAAAAGGGAAGAACTTATTAGGTTCTGAGCAGTTTACCCCCAGCCCTCAGGGCAGCCAGGTGTGGTCTGGGGAAGGTAGGAAAGGTGGAATCGAAGGTTGGTTGGCTTGTAACCACTAACTGCATCAAAGCACTTCTGTGAAAGAACTTTAGTAATGGATGTCACCCATTTATTAAGTGGCTGATAACCAGTCTGAAGTGCTTGTTCCAAGCACTTTGCACACAGGGTCCTTTCTCTTTGCAGGAAGCAGCGTTCAGGCAATTACAAAGCTGGACTCTGGGTTCACTCTGGGGCAGTGACTACCTTTCTCTTAATTGCAGCTCCAGCCTGTCAAAATAGGGATAATGATGGCAGCTTGCTAATTGTGGTAAAGTGTCCACAGATCTCCCAACAAAGAGCTGTTGAGAATTCGTTTTAAGCAATACTCTGCTCCCAGGGTGTAGAATAGCACCTGCCTTAAAGTAGTGCACTTGTCACCTGACTGGCTCAGGGCAATGCTGGCTGTACCAGCAGACACAGCAGTGGAGGTTACAGCTAAGCACTTTCGGTTTTTCATCATTGTGGAGGTGGACATTCAAGCCTTTGATGAATATAAATTTGCAAACTTAAGAAACTTCTGAGACCAATAGAGACAGGGACCATTAAGAAGGAACCCCATCCATCCTTAATTAAGCCCCTATTTTAACTAATGGTCCCTTATATACTGTTGGCCTTAGGAAAAGAGACTGTACAAGGTGCTTTTAAAATTATTAGCACAATATATATTTTTTTCTTTTTTTCATTGGTTGTGCGGACTGAACTCTGGGCCTGGGCTCTGTCCCTGAGCTTTTCAGCTCAAGGCTAGCATACTACCACTTGAGCCACAGCGCCATTCTAGCTTTTTTCTGCTTATGTGGTGCTGAGGAATTGAACCCAGGGCCTCATGCATGCGAGGCAAGCATTCTACCACTAAGCCAACCTCCTAGCCCCATAATTTTAAAACTCCTCTCCAGTATGTGAGTTCACTTGCAAAGTAGGTTATTTCTCTACCAAAGAAGGTGTATCTTTTCCCAAGATCTCACACCTTAGGGACAGAGCTGGGGAACTCTGTTCTCTTTACCCCTAGCTATTCCCCTAAGAGAATTCTATTTTAAGATGGGAGGTACTTTAACAATCCAAAAGCTAATGATCCAAAACAGGGGTTATGTCAAATTCTTAGCAAAATCTACCCTCAGAAGAGCTCAGCATTTATCCAAACACAGAAGCTCCACATAAAATATGCATCTCATAAAATATAGAAATACCAATTGGAGGCAATTTTCACCAGAAAACAGAAAAGAAATAGAACAACTAATTTACAGTCCCAAATACAACTTGGAATGCCCTGTGGGTTATGGATGAGAGTTATAATCCTAGTTTTAGCATATTAATTGGTAGAAATAAAATGTGATAAATAATAAAAAGAAGAAAAAGCTCATGTGCCTAAAATGATAATAAAAATAGTATATTTACTGGGATGGCTCATGCCTGGAATCTAGCTATTCAGGAGGCTGAGATCTGAGGATCAGAGTTCAAAGCCAGCCCAAGCAAGAAAGTCCCTGAGACTCCAATTAACTACCAGAAAACCTGAAGTGGAGCTGTGGCTCAACAGGGTAGAGCACTAGCCTTGAGAAAAAGACCTCAGGGAGAGTGCCCAGGCCCCTAAGTTCAAGGCCAAGACCAGCCTCCCCACCCTTGCCAAAAAAAAAGTACAGTAATAATGATGATGGGTATTAAAGGTTTAAGTGTCTTTTCCTAGGAAAATACAAATTATTTTCCCTATTTTTATGGAATTCTGATTCTATACCCTCTTCAAATAGCCACCAACTTTGGCCTATTCTTGGGCTGTTTTTGAAAAAAAAAAAGCCAACAAAAACAACCCCAAAAACAAACAAACAAAAAACCCAAGATGAATAAATCTCAATGTCTTCACAGACTCAATCCATGGAAGACATGGGTATACATTTGCTAGTACGTCATTAAGCAGCTAGTTCTAAATTAGGACTTTTGAACAACGTGCCACATGAGCATGAAGCGGGAAGTGTGGTCAGAGAGGTTTCTAGAGGAAGTGAGCTTTTCATCTTAAGGAAATTATATACAGAACTTTCTTTCTCTTCCCAGAGGCCTACCTCGGTTGGCTGGTCTGCAGGTTGTGGCATCAAGAGCTGGTTGTGGTGCTGTAGCACTGTCTTCAGATAATCTAGAACAGTCTGGCAGGGCACTGGAGGAGAAAGCAGCAGTTATATCAAAAAAGTTCTCTTCATCACAATATACTCTGAGATCTAAAAAGATGTAATGTGAACTTAAAAAAAAAAGATTTATTTTCCAAAGGAAATAGAATCTTTTGTGTTCATCGGACATCGTAGTTATTTCATTCTGTAAATACTGAACAGATGCTATAGTTTCAGGACAAGTTTTAGGATTAGCACAATTTGATAAGAACTTTCAAGCCCAACTTAGTCCAAGAGACATTTGAGTCAACAATGGTAACCAGGAACACCTCACAGAAGAAACATTTTCATTTTCTTTGACTCTACCTGTAGCCTGAACATCTAGGGACTTTTTCAAAGTAAGGTACTGAACTAATGTTTCATACATTTTTCCTTTTAAGGTACTAGAGTTTGAACTCAGGGTCTTGATAGACAAGACATGCCATACTACTGAGCCACATCCCCAACTCTCTTTTGCATTAGTTCTAAAAGACAGGCTCTTACCTTTTGCTCAAGGCTGTGTCTGGACTGTGCTTACTACTCTGTTTTGCACTGTAGTTGAGATAACAGATGTGTGCCACCATGCCTAGCTTCTTTCACGGAAACAGAATTTCACAGAACTTTTGAACTCAGGCTGGTCTGGAACTGCAATCCTCTTGATTCAAGGCTCACATGCTAGGAAGACATGCACACGCCACACAGCCCAGCTCAGTGGATGAAAAGGGGTCTTGCAAACTTTTGTGTTTTTTTGGCTCGGCTGACTTTAAACTGTGATCTTCCCAATATCAGCCTCCCAAGCAGCTAGGATTATAGGCATGAATCGCTGCATCTAACCACAGGTTTGTTTTTTTTTAAGCAATAATATTCACACTGTTCATGTGCTGGCAGCTTGGCCCTTAGTGATGCTGAGAGATGGTGGAATATTTTAAGAGGAAGAGATTAATGCCTGATGTCTGTGTGAAACAGACGATGGTCTTCAAAGGAAGCAGTGGGACCCTGAGATGGACCCAGAGAATGGAGTTGTTGTGACAGACTAAAGCCAGCCGCTCCTTGCGCTGTCTCTCCCTGTCTTACCACGTAATCTCTTCATCTCTGCTCTGCTCTCATCACTGTGCCATCTGCTAGGATCCTTGCCAGTCCCAGCACCATGTTGTTTGGATTTTCAGTCCACAAAGCTATACACTAAATTATCTTTTCTCTATAATCTACCAGTCTTAGTTCATTACAGTAAAATAAAATGGACTAATACACTCTTTTTTTTTCTGTTCCAGTACTATGGCTTGAAACTCATGGGCCTGGGTGCTATTCCTCAGACTTTTAGCTCAAGGCTGGAGCTTGAGACACAGCTCATCTGCTGGCCTTCTGGTGTTTAACTGGATCTAAGAGTCTTACAGACTTTCCTGCCTGGGCTGGCTTCAAATTGCAATCCTTACATCTCAGCCTTTTGAACAGAAAGGATTAGAGTGCCGGATTAATACACTCACTTTAACAGACCATACCCAACTCATCAATAATCAGGAATCCCATCCAAGCCAGCGCTGGTGGCTTTCACCTGCAATCCTAGCTATTTAGGAGACTGTCTGAGGATAATGGTTCAAAGCCAGCCCAGTCAAGGAAAGTCCTTGAGAGTCTTATCTCCAATTAAGCACCAGAAAATCAGAAGTGGCAGTGTGGCTCAACATGGTAGAGTGCTCACCTTGAGCTGAAGAGCTGAGGGACAGTTCAGGTTCTAGAGGTTCAAGCCCCACGACCGACCAAAAAGAAAAAAAAAAAGAAAAAAAAAGAACCCCATCCAAGTTAGGTTTCCTTCCCAATATGAATATCCCTGTCCTCTGAAGAAGCTCAACTGACTTGATCCAGTTCAGATGTGACTATATATTTCACTGACCATTGCACCATTTTTGTGAGACATTATCTTATAAAATCATAGAATAATTACAAAAATCCCTGACTGCCCCAGCTACAGAAAGAGGTATACATTAGGAGGATTTTGGTCTGAGACTGGACTTAGGTAACAAGTTTGAACTCCATATAAAAATTAACTAAATGAGGGCTGGGAAGTTGGCTCAGTGGTAGAGTGCTTGCCTTGCATGCCTGAGGCCCTGGGTTCGATTCCTCAGCACCACATAAGCAAAAAGAAAAAACCTGGAAGTGGTGCTGTGACTCAAGTGGTAGAGTGCTAGCCTTGAGCTGAA